GCGAGGGCCGCCGCCCTGCCAGAGCTTGACCAACCACCAGTGCCTCTACTCCATCGTTAGGGCGTTGCACATCATCAGCCCCCCCCCCCATCCTGCTCGACATCAAGAAGGAGGGTGTCCTCCCGCCTCTGCGGCAGCAAGGCCCCAGTTGCACTGACTGGGGCCTGGTGCCGTCGCCCAGTGCGTGGGCTGGTCGCGCCAAGTCGGGCGAGCAGGATGACGCCCCGATTGTCGGCGTCCTCGATGTCAGCTTCGTCAAGGACGTCACCAATTCTCTTCATTGTTCGGCTCGTGATGGCGAGCGAGTCTTTCGTCACCTTGCGCCGCCAGTCCACGAGGAAGCGGTCGAGGAGACCCGCGAGAGTTCGGAGCTCCAGAGCATTCAGATCGTGCTACATTGTTTCAGGCACGCTGGACCGTCGACGGATGCGCACGTGAAAGCGTTGAGCCTCCGACGGGTCCAGGATCGTGGCGAGTGAAAGTGCGCGGCCTCCGTGCGCAGGTATGAGAAGCACGCCGCTCTCCTAGGACAGCTACACAGAATGGCAGCGCGCCAGAGGCGCTCAGCAAAGGCGGCCGGTCGTGGACTGCCGGACATGCTCAAGAACGCTTTTTGCTAGCATCGTTAGCTTCGCCGACCATTTCCCCGCCGCCACCCAGGACATATACATGGGCATGGGAGTTTCAGCAACTGTTAAGTCGTCCCGGTGGCTCGCTGGAAGCTGGATGGAACCGCGCCCCAAACTGTCTGAGAACATGTGACCCCCAGCGGTTTAGTGCATCGGCTGTCGCCGCGCCGCCGCTTTCTTGAAGGCAACCGTCTACAGTGTGCGAGTGTGTGTGTGTGTGCGTGTATGTGAGTGTCAGTTCTTCCGCGTTTGTCGCAAGAGCGTGAGGCCTTCGGACACGACGGACCCCCTGATGATTTGCGTCAGTAGTCTTCTTTGTGCTCGCCACCCTCGCCCCTCGTTGCACCCTTTCTGTGAGGCTGAGGCGTTTTCAGATCCCCTTCGTCCCGACGGGGGAGTTTCAATGAATGCTACGTCGTGCCGTGGGCACGCTGGAAGCGCTTCCTTGCTCTGGACTGGCCATGGATGGAACCATGTTTCAACCTGTCCGAAAACGCGTGAATCGGCTGTCGCCGCTCCGCCGCTATATATATTTATATATATATATATATATATGTTGTGCGTCTCGCTCTCTTTCTCATTGTGTCGTTCTTTCTCTCTCTCTCTCTCTCGCTCTCTCCTGCCCCCCATCCTTTCTCTCCTTCTGTATGCCGGTACGCCACTCTTTCTGCATTTCGATTGTCCTTGCTTTATGTCTTATGATTTCCTCTCTCTCTCTCCCTCCCTCTCCTTCTCTCAGACGCACGCGCACGCGGATATGCGTCGATGCACGCATGTCCGCCTACGCTTGTCAAAATAATCATGCGCACTTTTCCGAGGGAGTTGAGCTTAGAGACGATTGTTCATGAAGCCGTCTCGTTCTTTCTTCTATGGGAGGAAGAAGCAAGTTCCGCTAAAATGACACCTCGGCCGGGACTTGATCGACCATCGGACGGGATTCGACGGGGTGGTTGGGATTTGATGCCATCGTATTTGCATGGGCGGGACTTGCTTTGCCCGATCTGGGAATACGCAGTGAATCATACATCGGCAGGACAAAATCCAGGCCTCGGAAAAAATAGCGAACACTCATGCCACATTCATTTGTGAACGCCTCCCCCTCCCCCCAATGTTCAAAGTTGTCGGTGGGTCTGATGAGTTGCACCTCGGCCGCAGTCTCCCCCGCGCGTACCAACCTTGAGTTTGGGGGGCAGGGGGGGTGTTCACTAATTGTTTCCCTCTACCGTCTCATCTGACATTCCAGAGGGCCATAATTTTTTCCTGCCAAACGGGCATCAGCTCCCCTTCCCCCTAGGTTCCTACCAAGAAGAATTGATCGTGTTCGGGCCCCTGCCATCGCTGGGGCCGTGGGCATTTTTTACAATCATATGTAGAAGATCCAGGACCGAACTTGCCCGATTGGTTTTTCACTCGGAAAAATAGCTATGACATTGTCTCACAGATCCCGGCCAATCATCCCACTGGTTTGCACAGTCGAAGCGATTATCCCAAACTATGTCCGACTCAGGTTTCAGGTGATTTCGATGTTTTCCGTATTTCCGACGAAGCTTTCGGCCCGCCGAAACATTCCCAAATGGGATCAAGTCCCGCCCCGCCACAGCAGTGTCGCTCCGCTGGTTGTCTCAGGGGAGAAGGGCTCATCAGCATGATTACGACGATGGCCGTGATCCATCACCATGAACATGGTCACCATGAACACATCACCATAGCGACGGTAATCATACTGATGATGAGCGTGAACATAACCATCAATTCGACGGTCGCCAACAACGTCACGGTGGTGGCGATCAAGACGGCCATGGCGGTCCCCGGCAATTCAGCCATGATTGGCCACATGTTGACCGCGCGAGCGCGTCAACTTGACCTGCCCAACCATCTTGTGGTGTTGGGTCTTCGCTATGAACAGACAGCGCCCCGCGTTCCTTCCTTCCTCCTTCCTCTTCCTTTTCTCCTCCTCCCCCTCCTCCCTCCTCCCTTCCCTGCCTCTGCTCTCCGCTGGCCCATTTGATTTCGGCACATCCTTCGCACGCTTCGTGGCCCCATAGGGAGCTCCACCGAAGGCCCCAGTGGCAATACCCACATGCGTCCCCGCCACCGATGTCGGCACATCCCATCACACGTGTCGTGGCCCCCAATAGGGAGCTCCACCGAAGGCCCCAGTGTCGGTTCCCACATGCGTCCCAGCCACCCCCCATGTCGGCACACCCTTTACACGTTTCGTGCCCCACAGGGAGCTCTACAAAAGGCCCCAGCGGCGGTGCCCACGTGCGTCCCCGCCACATCTTTCGGCACACCCCTCACACGCTTCGTGGCCCCATAGGGAGCTCAACGGAAGGCCCCAATGGCGGTGCCCAC